CTCCTCCTCCTCCTCCTCCTCCTCCTCCTCCTCCTCCTCCTGGTACTCCTCCCCCTCCCCTCCTCCTCCTCCTCCTCTTCCTGGTCGTCCTCCTCCTCCTGGTCGTCCTCCTCCTCCTGCTCGTCCTCCTCCTCCTCCTGCTCGTCCTTCTTCTCCTGCTCCTCCTGCTCCTCGTCCTGCTCCTGCTCGTCCTCGTCCTCCTGGTCTTGCTCGTCCTCCTCCTCGTCGTGCTCTTGCCCCTGCTGAAAATGTGGCCCAGGAATGGGAGTTCTGGGAAGTCGAAGAGCACGAAGTTGCCTACAGTTGGCTACGGGCATTCAAAATGTGGCCCGGGAATGGAGTTCTGGGAACTCGAAGAGCACGAAGTGGCCTACAGTTGGCTCCGGGCATTCAAAATGTGGCCCGGGAATGGAGTTCTGGGAACTCGAAGAGCACGAAGTGGCCTACAGTTGCTCCGGGCAAATGGCCCGGGCCTCCACGAAATGTGGCCCGGGAATGGAGTTCTGGGAACTCGAAGAGCACGAAGTGTGTGACTGTTGCATCCGGTTATTCTAAATGTGGCCCGGGAATGGCGTTCTGGGATCTCGAAGAGCACGAAGTGTGTGACTGTTGCATCCGGGTATTGAGAATGTGGCCTGGGAATGGAGTTCTGGGAAGTCGAAGAGCACGAAGTGTGTGACTGTTGGTGAAAAACGAGCCCGGCACCTGCCGCCCGGCAACTCCCAACACCTGCCCGGACCCCCCTGTGGAGTGATCTGCTGCTCTCTTTTGATCCCACTAGAAACCTATCAGTCTTCGCTGTTAGGTAAAAAACAGGGTGCGAGCGTCGAGGGGCACACTTTGATTTAGAAAAAAACCATATGCACCCGTGGGGTGGTCAACAATAATGATTCTCCGGAAATGAGAGTTCAACCACCACAACAACAACAACAGCAACAACAACACCACGACCACCACCACCACCACCACCAACAACAACAACAACAACATCAACAACAACAACAACAACAGTTACAACACCGTCATCATCAGCATCATCAGCATCATCAGCGTCGTCAGCATCAGCATCATCATCATCATCATCATCATCATCAGCGTCATCATAATCATCATCATCATCATCATCATCATCATCATCATCATCATCATCATCATCATCATCATCATCATCCTCATCCTCATCCTCATTATCCTCCTCATCATCATCATCATCATCATCATCATCATCATCATCATCATCATCATCATCATCGTCATCGTCATCGTCATCATCATCATCAAGAGCATCACCACCACCACCACCACATCATCATCGTCACCATCGTCAACGTCATCAGCAGCGTCAGCATCAGCATGATCATTTTCATAATCGTCAGCAGCAGCATCATAATCATCATCAGCATCATCAGCAGCACCGTCATCGGCATCAGACTCATAAGCCTCAGCATCATCACCATCAGCATCATCGGCATAATCATGTTCATCACGAGCATCACCATCATCAGCACTAGCATCATCATCAGCAGCAGCATGATCATCAAAATCATTCTCATTATCAGCAGCAGCATCCCTAGCATCATCACCACTATCAGCAGCATCATCAACAGCAGCATCATACGCATGATCATCATCAGCATCAGCATGAGCAATATAAGCATCACAGTATCAAACAGAAGCATCATAATATTCACCAACAGCATCAACATCAGCATCAGCATCGCCATCAGCAACATCATTATGATCAGCAACAACATCATCAACAGTATCAGTATCAGCATCAGCATCATTACCATGATCCGCATAAACAGCATCAGAATCAGCAGCAGCACCACCACCATCACCACCATCACCCTCACCGTCGTTATACTCATGCCCATCACCATCATCAGCATCATCTTCAGCATGGCCATCATCATCAGCACGAGCAGCATAGACATCGGCAGCATCATCAGCAGCAACAGCAGCAGCAGAATCAGTAACAGCACCAGCATCATCAGCATCATGATCATCAGCATCGTCGTCATCATCAGAAGCAGCATCAGCTTCGTCACCACCATCACCATCAGCAGCAGCAGCATCATCAGCATCAGCATCAGCATCATCATCATCATCAGCATCATCAGCATCAGCATCACCAGCATCATCAACAGCATCATCATCAGCAACGGCACTATCAGTACCATCCCTCTCCTCCCCCTCATCCTCCTCCTCTTCCTCCTCCTCCTCTTCCTCCTCATCCTCATCTTACTCCTACTCGTATTCCTACTCTTTCTCCTCCTCCTCCCTCCCTCCCTTCCTCTTCTTTCCCTCATCACTCCTCCCCTCCCTCTGTCCTCTTCCTGCAACCTCTGCCTCATCGTAATCCTTCCTTCTCCCCCCTCTTCCGCATTCTCTTCGTCATCATCCCTCGTCCTCCCTCTTCATCTTTCCTCCTCCTCCACCTCATTATCGTCCTCATGCTCCTTTTCCTCATCCCTGACCCTCCTCGCCCTCCTCACTCTTCTTCCTTCCCCACTCCTCACTCTCCTCATCTGCCACCTCCTGACACCGCCCGCTCGACCTCATCCCCCTCTTGTGTTCCACATCCTTCACATCCGCCTTCCTTAACACCCGGCCTACCCCTTCCTCCTCCATCCAGACTCGTGTTCGCAATGCTCGCGTCCAGTCAAAAACCTCCTCCAGCTCGGCCCCCATTCCTGCTCCGCCTTGTTCTCGGTCCTAGGTCGCCCAACCTGTCGGTTCGCGCCGCGCGACGGCGCGCTTACTGCATTTTCGCCCTCGACCCACCCCCCGACTGGTGAACTCTACAAATGGAAATCCACCGACACTGTCGGCGTGTGTGGAGGGTCTGTCCGGTCCCGTCGACGGGGAGCCTTCTTTCGTCCCTTCCTTCCCATCCTCCTCCCGTCGGGGGAAAGAGAGAGAGAGAGAGAGAGCACCCTTCCTCGTTCGGAGAACGGGTTCGCAGCTTGAGGGAATTCCATCCACGTCCTCATTACGTCAAAAGGAAGCCCCTCCCCTTTGTCCCTTCCCCGGCGGGGGGGGTCCTGGGGGGTGGGGTCAGATTCGCATCGCCTCTGGGGTCCTCCTCTCCCACGCCGGTCTTTCTCCGGCGCGCCTGTCCTCCTCGGGTCCTCCACCCCAGGTGGAGAGGAGTCCCAAGGGGGGGAGGGGAGTCAGATACGCATCCGTCCCTGGGGGTCCTCCTCCCCCTCCCCTCCCCTCTCCCACGCTGGTCCTCCTCCGGTCCTCCTCCCCATGGGGGGGGGCGTCCCAAGGGGGAGTCCTTTTCCTCCTCCTTCTCCTCCTCCTCCTGATCTCCGTGTCCTCCTCCTCCTCCTCCTCCTCCTCCTCCTCCTCCTCCTCCTCCTCCCTCCTCCTCCTCCTCCTCCTCCTCCTCCTCCTCCTCCTCCTCCTTCCTCCTCCTCTCCTCCTCCTCCTCCTCCTCCTCCTCCTCCTCCTCTCTCCCCCTCCTGGTCGTCGTCGATGTCTTTCAGGGTCGGCGGCACTGGCCGTCAGGCCTTCACAATATTGCGGTAGGCACACGGCATGACACAAGTCTTCTCCGAGGGCACCATTGCTCCAGACACGAGAACATGACAAGAAGACATGAAGCGCGAGTACAGTCGAGGTGTTGACCTAAGGAACCCTAAATAAGGAACGAGGCCCCTATTTTCCAGAAGTTAAACTTCGATTTGGTATCGAAACCCTAAGGAAAATCTAAGGCAAGCTGCGAAACAAGTAAGGAACACGGAGCCCCTCCCCAACGAAAAGGGCTCCTTCTTCAGGGCCCCGACTGTAGACAGGACGCCAAGGAAGCCTTGATTTTGCAGAGTCGACCTACCGTACATCCCCAGCCCAGTCCAGGAAGCCAGAAGCGCGAGTACAGTCGAGGTGTTGACCTAAGGAACCCTAAATAAGGAACGAGGCCCCTATTTTCCAGAAGTTAAACTTCGATTTGGTATCGAAACCCTAAGGAAAATCTAAGGCAAGCTGCGAAACAAGTAAGGAACACGGAGCCCCTCCCCAACGAAAAGGGCTCCTTCTTCAGGGCCCCGACTGTAGACAGGACGCCAAGGAAGCCTTGATTTTGCAGAGTCGACCTACCGTACATCCCCAGCCCAGTCCAGGAAGCCAGAAGCGCGAGTACGTACGGTGGGGGCCAGTCCACAAGAAACCTTCCACAAGAAACCCAACCCTGAGACCCCAGGACCTCCACTGATGTTTGGTGTGGAAACGTCACGCTTCCCATTGCAAACCCGTCCAAACCCAAGAAACCCAGGGCACCTTGGAGGCAAGCAGGGTATTTCTTGGCATGTGTCCCCACTGTATCCTGACGGACAGGATCCGCATCGAAAGACGGGATCGAGAATGCGCGTCGGATCGGGCCGCACCGGCACGGGAGAGAGAACCGAATCGGACCCGGCCGCGCAGGGACACACAGCAGCGCCACACAGGGATCCCCTGAGATCCGACGGCACGCTGGCCATCGCTCGGACGTCCATTCCCTGTGCTTTTTTCGGTTTCGTGCGTGGTTTTCTCGCCAAATGCTCAAGGATGCTCCTCGATGGTCCTCGCCGGGGAAAAAATGCACACCTCCAGAGCGATGCCAGGCACGAAAAACCGGCTGCAGCATTGTCAAAACTCCCGACGGCATCCTTCTGCTGCACTCCTCGAGCCGCCTCGATCTGTGGTGGTCCCTGGGCCCAAAAAACCGAACGAAAACGCCTGGTGCGCAGAGCACTGCGGCGCCCGAATCTCAGGGCCGGGCCGCACCGGACCGTCGGAGCAGCGCGGCCGAGCGGGATCGGGCCTGCCAGAACGGATGCCGAAGCGGACTCGCAGGGCCGAGGCGGAGGGCGGAGGGAGGAGGGAGGAGGTAGGAGGGAGGAGGGAGGAGGGAGGAGGGAGGAGGAGAAGGAGGAGGAGGAGGAGGAGGAGGAGGAGGAGGAGGAGGAGGAGGGGGAGGAGGAGGGGGAGGGGCGGCGGCGGCGGCGCGTCCTCGAGGAGCTTCACGCCGTCGCCCGAGGTGGCGAGCTCGCTCGCGAGAGCCTCGATGCTCTGGGCCCGCACCTGGGCGGGGCACGGGCGCGTGCCGAGCCAGCGCAAGAGGAGGGGAACGAAAAGTGGCAGAAACATAACAACTCGGAGGTCCGCGCGAACTCTGGCATCACGGCGCGGGGGAGGGCTGGGGCCGAGGACCCAACAGAGAGGGGCCCAGGGAGGCGCAGGTAGACAGGCACGACTTCCAAGATCCCCCACTTGTCTGTATCTTCTCTGGGTCGTCGTCTCCCCCCCATCTCGAATATGTTCCCAAACTTTCTTGGAAATCGGCGCTTGTGCGTTCGAGTAAGGAAATCGACTACAGAATCGATTTACCCCCGAATTGGTTTTCTCGTCGAACTGCCGAAAACTACGTCGAATGTTCGTAGATACGGGGATCATTCTACAAACTCGGCGAACTACTCAATTCTGGGTACATCAATGATGTCGTCGTCGGTGTGTGCCTGTGCCTATTTTCTAGAGGCCTCCTAGATGGGGTCCGAGTAGACGGGGTCGAAGGGTCGCGCCGCATCGCCGAAGTATCGGCGATATATGAGCGAGGTCGGCGTGGAGAAAATCGGGCTCCGTATCGAACCGCATCGCCGATGCATCGCCGACGCGGCGCGATCCTCCGACCCCATCTATCAGTAGCGCGCAGACATGGATTGGCGATCCATGGATTTGGCGCGCCTCCCCAATGTGCGACCGGTGCCGTCTCGCTCGGCGGTGGAAATCCGCGATTTCCCATGGAAATAAATCAAGGGGCTCAAGGACACACAAATAAATACACACCAGTGAAATGATTCCCCATATTTTCCCATATTTTCTGGGTTCTGTGTCTTCCCGCCCAATTCCCATCTTTTCCCATACTTTCTTGGGCATCGACGATGAAGTGTGTCTGCGTGCTTCTTCCCCTCCTGCAGAAGACCCGTCGCTAATCCACGCCCCCTTGGTCGATGTTTTCGGGAGCGGCCAAAAGGGGGGTGTCCAAGAGGGGAGGGTGCAAATCATGACCAGCGGCATGTGCGCGGCCCAGCGGGGGGGGGCCAGGGACGTAATGAAACAAGAAGAGGCGCCATGAGATCTGGGGAAACATCATGGCCCCCGCCATGATATCCACCCCCCCCTAGTCATCACCCCCCTCTTTTCCGCCCCCGATGTTTGCGATCGACTGAATCTACTCCGGGCCCATCCGGCAGGCCCCGGGAGTCTGTGCCCATGCTGCACCCCCCCCGGGGATCTCCTGACCCGGGTCAATCCAGACCCGGGTCAGCAGGAAGCCAAAAACTGCAATGCAGGAAAAAAAAACTGCAACGCAGACTGGAATGCAACTGCAATGCAATGCAATGCAAACCCAGGTCAGCCAATGTGCGCGGCCGCCTCGCGGCCACGGGCGGCTCGCGAACCTGGGTCAGCCAGAGGGGGTCTTCGCAGGATCCTGCAGGAGCTGGTGCCCTGGCTGACCCCCGTTTGCATTGACCCCCGTCTCAAGGCACCCGACGGGCCCCCCCCAGGGGCTTCTGGCCCGGGGCGCGCCCTGGCCCACTGAGGTCTCGAGGCGACCCAGGCTCGGGTCGGGTCGGGCATGTCCTCCTAGCGGCGGACGTTGGAAGAGAAGTTTGAAACACATGGCCAGAACACACGTTTCAAAAAAAAACCCAAGCGTAGCCGAAAATCGTCACCAGACTGTTTTTGATGACTATTCGTGGACATTCCGCCTGTAGAGGTTGAGGCCCGACTTACACCAAGGCTGGCAGAATACATATATGTATATATAAGCATTGATTTAGTAGTTGTTACTCTTCGTTATATTTTAACATAACAACAACAAATAGCAAAAAAAGAGGGCGCCGCACGACGCCAGCAAGAACGCCCAGAGGCACCCAGCCTCGATCCTCGGGGGCCCTCCAGCCAGCTCGGGGACCGACACAGTCTTGACCCAGATCACAAGGGTGCACGAGTCGGGCGTGTCCCCCTATAGGCGGATATTGGACGGAAGATAAAAATAGTCCAGACCAAAAACACTCAAAAATACAACAACAACAACAACAACAACAACAACAACAACAACAACAACAACAACAACAACAACAACAACAACAACAACAACAACGACAACGACAACGACAACAACGACAACAACAACGACAAAAACGTCCCCAGACTATTGTTTACTGTTTTTGCTTATTTCTCCTGTAGAGGGACAGGCCTGCCTTAACGATAAGGATGCAAGGGGCTTGGAAGGCCAGTGCGAAGCTGTTCGGGCGGGGAGTGGCGGACGCAAGTGGCCAAGGATGGGCCGAGGAGGCAAAGACGCCAGGGCATCATTCGGAAAATTGCGCATCCTCACTATGCGGGTTGACCATGCACAGACACCCTCCGACGAACTTTGCATGTACCTTCGGGGAGGGGATGGCGTATAAGGTCGCTGGCTCCCAGTGGTGATCTACACGCCGCCACCCTCCCCTGAGGCCCAAGAGCAATCCAGTGGAGGGTGTCTGTGTATGTATATATATATACATATACATATACACATGTTGTTGTGGCGGAACCGAGGGTCTTCGATCCCAGACCGTCGATCCTCGAGCGTCCTCGAACGCCCAGGGACGTCCCAAGCGTCCTCGAAGGGCCTCGATCCTCGATCGCCTGTCCTCGAGCTGGTGGGCGGTTGGGCGTTGCTTCATGGGGGGCGGTAGTTGGCGGGGGCCCCAACGTTCACTAGGGGGCACACTTCTTCAACCCCCATTTTTCCCGCCCCCACATTACGCAACGCCCGAAGCGTCCTCCCCCGCCCCGTGCTCCAGGTGCCTTCCAGTTCTTGTGCTCAAAGGCCCGCTTCAGGGCGTCGCCGGCGGTGTCGTCCGCGACGCCGATGCTGCTGTTGGCGTCGGGCTGGCCGCTGCTGGAGAGCGGGCCGGGGGAGGGGAGGAGGTGGGAGGGATTTTGTCGGGCTTGTCCCCCTACAGGGGGATTTCGACGAAAAATGAAAAATACTCCAAAATGGTCCAAAAAAAATACTCAAACAAGTCCCCAAGCTATTTTTCTATATTTTCGAATATTCCCCCTGTAGAGGGACAGGCCCGACTTGAGCCAAGAGTAAAATCGGATAAACAATCGAAATAAATTGGGTCGGCGGAATCCCAGGAGGCCTCTAAGTGGCCTCTAAGAGGCCTCACAAGAGGGCCCCGAGAGGCCAAGATCATCAATGTTGCAGAAAGATTTGGGAAGGATTTTGGCCTTGTCGCCTGTTCGGCTTTCCGATGCTCCAAGACGGCCCAAGAGGCCCCCAAGAGCGCCCCAAGACGGGCCAAGAGGCTTCCAAGAGGGCCCAAAGAGGGCCCCAAGAGGGCCCCGAGACGGCCCAAGAGGCGCCCAAGACGGTCCAAGAGAGCCCCAAGACGGCCCCAAGAGGGGCCCAAGAGGGGGACCACGAACCGAAAACTCGAACCTTCCGCCACAAGAGGGCCCCAGGAGGCCCCGGGAGGCCCCCAAGAGGCCCCAAGATGTCGCCAAGAGGCACCCAAGAGGCCCCGGGAGGCCCCCAGGAGGCCCAAAAAAGGCCCCAAGAGGCCCCAGAAGGCTTCAAAAATGTCTCCCAGGCGCTCCCGAACGGCTTCTCAGAAGACCCCAAGAGGCCTCCCAAAGAAGCATCTTGACGACGACCCTGTTTGGCCCCAAGAGCAACACAAGATGCCAACGAGAGGCTTCCTCCTCCGCCCCCTCCTCTTCCTCCTCCTCCTCCTCCTCCTCCTCCTCCTCCCCCTCCTCATCCTCCTCCAACTTATCTTCATCCTCCTCCTCTCCTTTTCATCCTCTCCTCCTCCTCCCCTCCCATTCCCCATCGTCATCTCCCTCCCCCTCGGCGGCGCCAGTATGGCCCCGAGCCCTCGGCGAAGCAGTAGCGATCATGCAATATGGGCCGGCGGAATGAGCGAAGCGATTGAATAAATTGGGTCAGCGGAAATCGGCAGCCAAGCCCAGAGAAATCGAAACAGCGGACATCGGAAGGTTAAAGTCTCCATTGAGAATCCGAAATCCGAATCGAAATTCGAAATAGAATCCAATTGGAATCGGCATCGATCGAAATCGAACCGAACCGAGTCATAGGAGTCGAAATGAGACCTGGGGAAGGATTGCCAGAACTCCGACGACATGGTTTTTTCAGATGCGGGCTCTGTTCCTCCACTTCGGCCTCTACTGGCCATCGCTCGGACGTCCGTTCCCTGTGCTTTTTTCGGTTTCGTGCGTGGGTTTTTCGCCAAATGATCAAGAATGCTCCTCGATGGCCCTCGCCGGAAGAAAAATGCACACGTCCGAGCGATGCCAAGCCTAAGGGCCAGGGAGGAGGACGTGACCGCTTTTTGTTCCTCCTCCCGGGCAACGGCCGTTACCTTCGGGGGAGGGGTCGGGCAGGAGAGCGACGTGGAACGTCGGCCGCGGCGTGCACCCGCCAGGATGCGTCCGCGCCACCGGCGCACCAGTCGCCCGTGTGCGCCCCCGGCATGAAGGGGGGGGGGGGTCCAGGCCCACCCACCCACCCCCAGCACGACCGCTGGCGCTCCCCGGGACGAGGGCGTTTGGTTCGGGTAACGAGCGCCACTCTCTGAAGAGAGCAAGGGGGGCAACAACAACAACAACAACGAGGTACAGTACAACAACAATAACAACAACAACAACAACAACAACCACAACAACAACAACAACAACACCAACAACAACAACAACAACAACAACAACAACAACAACAACAACAGCAGCAGCAACAACAACAACAACAACAACAACAACAACAACCACAACCACAACCACAACCACAACAACAACAACAGCAACAACAACAACAACAACAACAACACCAACAACAACAACAACAACAACAACAACAACAACAACAACAACAACAACAACAGCAGCAGCAGCAGCAACAACAACAACAACAACAACCACAACCACAACCACAACCACAACCACAACAACAACAACAACAGCAACAACAACAACAACAACAACAACAACAACCACAACTACAACAACAACACCAAGAACAACAACACCAATAACAACAACAACAACAACAACAACAACAACAACAACAACAACAACAACAACAACAACAACAACCACAACCACAACTACAACAACACCAAGAACAACAACAACAACAACGAGGTACAGTACAACAACAACAACGAGGTACAGTACAACAACAACAACAACAACAGAAAACGCGTGGCCCCTCTTGGGCGCCCTCGAGGCAGGAGGGAAGAAGGCCTCCGGCCCGCCCCGGACCTCCTCCGCCAGAGGGATGCTGCTGTGCTGCACGTGCCCTCCGTCCCTTGTTGCCAGTGGCCCCGCCGCCGCCCCCGCGCGTCTTCCACTGCTGAAGTCACCCTGCTCCGGGAAAAACAAATTACTGAAGGGGCCCTAGGACACACAAATAAATACACACAAATAAAAGGATTCCCGATATTTTCCTATATTTTCTGGGTTCTTGTCTTCCCCCCCACTTCCCATATTCTCCAATATTTTCTGGGGAATCGACAATTAATTG